GTCTATTTATCTCTCTATCTATCTGTCTATCTATCTAGCTATCTAACAATCTAACAGTCTAGCTATATTTCTATCTATGGCTTTGTCGTTCTTTATTTATTTCTGTCTTTCTATCTATCTATCTGTCTATCTGTCTATCTATATATATATATATATGCCTTCATGTATGCATGTCTGCTTGTATACATGTATGTATGTATGTATGTATGCATGTATGTATGTACGTATGTATGTATGTATGTCTGTTTACAGATGTAGAACACCCAAAATCATATTCCTAAACCCTGAACCCTGAACCCTAAACCCTAAACAATAAACCCTAAATCCTAAACCGTAAACCCTAAAGTTAGGCCCTAAAGCCTAACCCTAAATCTAAAACCCTAAACCCTAAATCCTAAACCCTAAACCCCAAAACCCTAAACCCTAAACCCCAAAACCCTAAACCCCTAAACGAGCTCCGTGGCCCAGGGTCAGGGTTGCTTCCCTGAGCTTAGTTGAGGGTCCAGGGAGTCATGGGTCCTTACACCCAGAAGCCTTGCGGCTTTTTGGTTCAGGGCTTAGGGCAGTTTTAGTGGTTTGGGTGGAAGGAAGCGAGATTTGGGATTCATTTCCCCAGCTGGAGCTTTTGCGAAACCTTGTAGCACCCTGGGGACTCCACACTGCTTGAACAAGCCTGAACACACGGCCCCAAAGGCTCTGATTCCGGCGCGACCCTGAACCCTGAATCTTTAGCTTTAAGACTGCTACAGTAGTTTCATGGGATAGTGTGAGGTACCCGCCCGGAGCGAATGAACGGCCTGGGGTTTCATGAGAGGGCCTTGTGCGCTGAGGGCAAGCTTATATAAGTCCTCAGGGCTTTAGGGTTGAGTTTGCTTTCTTTGGCCTGCAGCAAGCGCAAGCGGGGCAGTCTTGTTTTTTCGGTTTGTGTGGGGCAAGCGTTCGTCGCATGACCCTGAAGTAAACACTGACCATCAGATGACAGCATCGCTGCACAGCCCTTCCAATGTACCCGAGACCCGACATGAGAATAGGCCCTGCTGACCTTCCAAGACAACCTGTTTTTTATTTTGTTACGAAAGTTGGAACACGGGTTTAGGATGATTTGTGCTAGGACTCCTTATTATTCTTTGCCTTAACGCCATGAGTATTTCAATGTTCCAATTTTTTAGCTTCTACTATAAGCACCTGAACCCCACAAGTAATTTCCATACCCCCGAAACAAAAAAAACTAAACCCTAAACCCTAAACCCTAAAAAAATACCCCCGAAACTCTGGAGCTCGGCAGGCCCGACGATCAGCTAGATACCTCAGAAGAGCCGCCGATCGAGCTCATCGTCACCGATGTGCCGCCGAGATTCCGCTGTCCATGGACAGTTTAGGGTTTTAGGGTCTAGGGTGAAGGGATTCAGGGCTTAGTGCGTTGCAGCCCCTGCTCAAAAAAAAGGGTCTAGGGTGCAGGTTTTGCGGGGTTGCTGGGTTTAGGCCGCAGTTCAGGGGTAGACTTGAGCCGGATTCGCCGCATTTTTGGGACCCCGAGGTGCTGCACCCGGGCCCCGAAGTTCCTCTCAAGCCGCATTAAAGCTGGATCGCAACCTTCATGGAAATACCCGGGCCGGCAGGAAACCCTAGAATTCAAGCCAGCAGGCCCCTCGCCTCTCACGCTCTTGTCGGGGTTCCGCGCCTTCAATTCGAGCCTCCAAGTGCGAGTTTGAGTGCACAGGGAGCGTGAGGAGGGCTCAGAGAAACCCTGTTGGGTCATTTCCCGGCCCAGAAACCTGACTGGCAAGAGATACAAACACCGTGCTCAAGGCTGCAACTCCTTGAAAGTAATATAGGGGCCATAATTTTTGGAATAGGGTTTTGGGGGCCATGATACTATAATTATGATAAGGAGTCCCAAAAATAGTATTGGCAAATGTTTAGGGTCTATACATAGTCGATACGGCTCACAGGCAGTCGTTAAAGTATAAACCAGCATAAACCATGGGCACAGTGTCGCCCTTCATAGAGAGTATGCTTTCTTCATGTTGCTTCAAACGTGCATGTGTAGGTGCCACTGTTGGCTATGCGCTACCAAATTTTGTTATAGTTGTAATTACTTCAACAGTTCATGTGCACTTGGAGGTTCAGGGGTAGTTATAAGTGGGCTTATAAGTAGGGTAACTGTAGTTATAACCCATATTAGGGGACTTATAACTCCACTTATAACTACCCATGAACCTCCAAGTAGGTGGTCCTGTTTTGACAACAACACGCCCCTTGGGGATCTCGGGGAACCGAGGAAACAGGCGGAGCCAGAGGAGACCGAGTGCTTGCTCTAATGGGAGCTGAATAATGAGCCACTAGTAATTGGGGCTTGCTGAAAATAGGGGACCCTAATATAGTACCCTAAACGTTAGGATCCTTATTATAAGGACCCCAAAATAAGGTACCCCTACTGTTCGGAAACTCCCAATTGATCCGTCCAATACTTGTAGCGTGTGCCCCGGAACCCTCCATCTCTCTGTGTCCTTGTCCTCTCACCCTTGGTTGCTTAGTACCAGCAGACACGGTTATCAGACGAGTCTCCGGCGAAAGCTTGACTTCCATGTCCACCGTAGGCGTGGGGGCGCAGTGCTGCACAAGAGCTGAAACG